AGCTAAAGCTGCTGCTGGAGACAGACGGACCGTTGTTCGGCTTAGCGCGCAGCATCCGGATCTATCCCCGAGTCGCGTCGTCCGCCAGGCCGCGGATGCAGGCTGCAGCTGCGCGACAACTCCATATGCAGTAGTAACCGCCAGCCTCTCGTCTGACTACTCAGACTGTACCTACTCAGACTGTCTGTGATTGGTGTTGCAGGCAGCAGGCGCAGCCTCCATCATGAGCAGCTCACAGAATACTCGTGACTGTACGCCTCTCGTCGTGCAAGCTCCATGACAGCTCACCCACATGCTGCCATTGATGCCTCTCTCCACTGATGAGTCCGTGAGTGCTCGAGAGCTCTGCTTGCGTTGCGATCATCTCCAGGCAGCGTTGTCGAGTGGGCAAGACCAAGAAAACCTGCAGAAACGGGTCAAACGCATCGAGGCAGCAGGCGGGTGGGTCCACAGCACCGATTCCACGCTAGCTGCTGGTGGTCCTTGCTCATGCGCTATAAGTCGCTAATTCAAATCGCAGTCGGCACTCGAACTACCGTACAGGCACGCTAAATCATGAATCATGAGTGGTGAATGTGTGAAGGCGCACGCACCTCCATGAAATGATGCAGCAATCGCAGTGTGAGTCGCCGCAACCCGGCCTACCGCTTAGTCTGAACATATCGCCTCTCACGACGATTCATCGTCCACCTTCCTCCCCATCACAATCACAGCGTAATTTGCACAGCAAGCTCGACCTCGCATACGTCTTGCCATTCTTTCGATTGCGATCCATTTTGATCTGGATCCCTCGCTTGCGCATCACAGAAGAACGCTCAAATTTGCAACGCGCACGTCCCGCGCTTTCCGCTTCGCCTCTCGAATTTGGCTTTCACCCGCTGGCCTAGGGCGCGAGCAAAGATCATAAATCGCTCCATTTCCCCTGAGAATAGCAACATCACCCGCTCTTAAAAGCGACGCATGGCGACCTTCACCACCACCACCACAACTAAGGGCAACGGCAAGGCGACGGTCCACTACGTCGACGCCGAGTCATCGCACTCCGGACAGAGCCCGCCTTACCATGAAGCAATGTCCGTCTCTGTAGCCTCGTCGTCCGCAACATCTTCACCTCAAATCGCCTCCAACCCAAAGCCTTTCAGAATACCCATCAGTCCTGCACCGCATGGCTATCAACTCAATAAGTGGGCCTCCGATGTTGCCATCAGCCACCAAATCATGGACCACGTTCTCAACCCGAAGGTGACACCTCCGGACAAATGGGAAGGTGAGTGCGCGTCGTCTGCTTGACTGCCCATCCGGTGGAAATGGAAACACTTCTACATAAGCCTACATCTATCGGTGGTCTGCCTCTAGGAGTGGCAATGATGGTCAAACGCCAACTATTGCGCTGGCACCAGCACCACAGCTCCATTCGCGCTTGTAGCGTCGGCGTACCAATGCAGGCCTCTTTTCTGAGCCAGCGCCGTTGAGGGTGTCAGTTCCAGACACACTGATCACTGACAAACTTCGGCCCTCTGCCTTCTTTCTTCACTTCAGATTGCGGCATATTTGACGACGGGGTTCAGGTTTCGTGGCTGCCCAGACGACCTGAGCAGATCAGCTTCACGCACATGCTTCGAGGGCAAACATACATTGCGGATTGCTCTCCAGAAGAGATTCTGCACTGCATTCACATCTTATCCTTCAGGCTCATCTGGGACGTCCGCATTGGCGCAGCCGGCATCATTTCCCGATTCAGTCAATTTTCCTTCCTATTCTACTTCTGCTGGAGAGGCATCGGGCAGGCATACAAGGGCAGAGATGTGACGGGTGTTCAGGGATGCAGGTTCCTTGATGGCGAGGGTCGTGAACAGGTGAAGTACTCTGTCGACACCAATCAGATCGACATCGTCTGGCGATCTGTCGAACTCCCAGATGTACCAGCCACCGAGGAGAAAGTGCGAGCCAGGATTCCTACTGCGGGCTACCGGATTGAACGAGCAGGAAGAGGGTGCAACGTCACATTCATTGGCCAAGCCGACCTTGGAGAGGTCATCCCGGGTTGTGAGTACGCAAACGCTCACGTCGTCACCGCCGGAGTGAGGTCAACAAGCTGAGCTAGTGTTCTTTCTCCCTGCTTTTGCTCGTCGTCGTCTTAGACTTGCTTCGCACCCTTTGCCACGAGCAACCACGCGGCTTGGGGCGATTGAGGACAGCCATTGAGAGCTTCGGTGTTCCTCCATACATCTGCGACCAATATGACTGCGCAGTGATCCAGCTGCAAGTGTTCTACCCAGAGACACGAAAAACAACGGTTCGTGCGCATGCCTCTCGAGCAGGTACCTTCGCCCTGGTCCTAGACGTCAAGCGCATGTATCGGAATGGCGTCCTGGTCACCAAGCTGGCGGGCGAAGGCGCATCATCGCTCAATCTGCAAGACGGAGAGGATCGACTTCTGATGTCCATCGCACCCTCAGGCGTCGGCAAGGAATTTTTCATCGAGATCGAGCCCAGAGATTCGGACCCTGAGGTGGACCAGTCGAGCGGATGGTGGTGATGGTAGCCTGCTTTTAGATATCAGCTCCAGGACTGATCGTCGACATTGAACAGCGACTATATAGCACGGCACAGTTGTCCTGCTAAGTCCCTGCTCGATCGAGCGCTCACGCACCATCGCCGACATAAAACCTTCGAGCCGCGTCTTGTCGAATGGCAATCATCTCGTATCTTGCTACATTCACTCCCCTCCACCGTACATATTTTCAGCAATCTTGCACTTTCCCAAGATCTTTCCTCGCGACACTGTACCATATCAGCGCGGTCATGCATGCGAAGCACGTATTCAAACCGGTAGGTCAACTCAGGATCTTCGTTGTGCGTCAAATGCTGCGTGAGAGTGATTTGGCGTCTCTACTCGCTCTCAAGTTCCGCGCTACCGGGTCTAGCATTTGCGGTACACAATCGAGACAGCTCCCATTTTGCACTCACGACTGCGAATGGGAGGCCAGCGGCTAAGAAAGCACACATCATCGTGAGCCGTTGGTCACGTGCCAGATGTGCAACGTCCCATCGGCCAGCCGCACCGAGTAGAAGTAGTAGAGTCGTGACCTCCACTACCTGAAGTGGAAGTCATCACACTCTTGACTGGATGAAGCCGATTGATTCCTCAACACCAAACGCGTACCACATCTGCAATCAGTGAATCGGGTTGGACCCCTGGACCTTCAACAGATACATTCATCAAGTTAATACTCAAGCTAGAACAGTAGCTGCCGAAGAAAAGCCAACCCGAGCTCCCCTCCTCGCTCGCCTGCTCCATGCTCCCCTATCCTTGAGATCCTGCCTGTTCCAGTGCTCACCAGTGAATGTCTTTGCTCCCTGACGGTGGCGACACCCAGTCGAGTCGAGCGCTTCGCCCAGCTCAGACTCTGACCGAATCTTTCGACATCATATGCCTTTCAAAAATGCGCACGGTTACAGCGACGCTCTGCGCTCGTTGATGAAGTCGCTTAAGCAACTAAGAGCAATCACTGAATCAAGAAGCAGCTGACTCGAATTGTATTCTCAGTCACGAGGTGGCCCAAGCACTTGCCCCGTGACGATCTAGAGAATCGCGTGAACGTTGGGTTTTACGTCACGAAGCACGACGTGAGTCATCGTCACTTATTCACTCAGACTCTTGACACTTGACTCAGACTCGATGAGGCCCTTCACATGACCTGGTGACGTCCGATCAAATCCAGCATGTTCGCACTCCGACCGGCGAGGTCGCCTGGCCTGATCCTCATCATTCAAATTGTCATGCAGCCTTTGCAGACGCTTGGTGCACCACGATTCTTGACATCCCGAGATCAAGAGCCCAAAAAGCAGTGACAGAAGTCATGAGTGTGAGTGTAGCCATTGACTTTTCGCTGCGGCTGTTGTCATGTACAGGTCGAGTCCGAGCAGACCGCACTAGCTTCACTCCGTATTCGTGATTCTGATTGTAGGCCTGATGTGAACTTTAGACATGCGGTTGATTCGGGCTGTCCAGCAGCAGCATCGTCGCGAGACACGTGAGGTACCTGTCGCCGGAGGTCCGTGTTGATGCTGCAAGAACGGTTCAAACTTCAAATCACTCATGACTCTGACTTCTAGTCGATGATCCAGACAATCAAAGCTCTGCTCGAGGTGCGTTCTTATAATAGTCCTGCAGCGCACAGCAGTCACCACACAACAGGCTTGCATACAGCATGGACCGCCCGTAAAGTGTGCGCACACTATATGAGATTTGTGCGCCTCCAAAGCATCTGACGGATTGTGCATACGTGTTGGCTGATACAAGATAACCAGATACTCTTGACTTCGACTACGTACAGCTTACCGACAGCATCCACCAACGCTGAAATCATGATCAAGAATGCTCGAGCAATATTCAATTGCAGATCGATGCCAAGCCTTTACGCTGTCGGTGTCCAAGTCTTTGCCAATTTCTTGATCGCCGCGAGCCGCGGCGCGCTGGCGGCTTGGCAACGCCCAAACGATCCCTCTTGGCCCTTGGCTTGAACGTCATTCTTACCAAATTGCTATCGCATAGAGGTGGAGAAAATGCCAAGTTCGGGGGAGAGACGCTCGATCCCAATCACGAATGCTAAATGTAATCTCAGTCGCGAATGAGAGGAGACGAAATCACAACGATGTGGTCGAGCAGTACGCACCCAGTGACTGCTTCGTACATACATGCTTGTTCACCCTTCGATATCGATATGAAATTTGATTGTGGTTGCGCATGACTAGTGAGCCAGAGTGTGCGTTGAGGGTGCACTCTCGTCTAGTCATAGCGCAACCCCGCTTCGACCGCCTTTAGCTCTCGCTGTATAGCCTACACATACATACATAGCTCATTTACCAAGCGCAAGCTTCGCTTGGCGATGCACGCATTGCAGCCTTTCGCGAGGAGCCAGACTTCAGTCATCCATCACAAGTGCGTGCTTGGGCCGCCAATCAAGAAATGTGGATGATCGAATGTCATCTCCACTCAGTGACTCTTGTGAGGATCCGTGTCTAATTGGACAGGCTGAGACAACGTTCCACGTCAAACGTGAATGAGATCGAGCGGACTCGTGCTGAGACCACTTGTCCCTGTGCTACTTGCTTGAGATCGATCGATCGATCGTGAAGTCTGTCCATCGGTTGGTTGCTTGGTTGTGCTGTCTCGTGCTGCGTGAGTTGGTACGTCTCGATGCTGCTAGTCAGGGTCAAAGTGCTGCGTTCAACGCGTCGGTTGTGCTGTAACCGTGAATTCGCGGTCAACCCTGCAGCGCTTGCATGACTGCGCTGCAGGTCGCTGCAACCAGCAGCAGCGGTGTAGATTTTGATTCCCTTCCGCTGACAGGGGCACGTCAGCGGTCACTAGCATCTCTCTTTCCGTCTGCTGACGAACTCGTGACGCCCCTGTCAGCTGCGTCGCGGCGCAGTTGGAGTCCTTCGGGTTAGGCGATTCCCCTCCAGCTCGCCAGCCAAAACAAAGCGAGGTCTCCTCGTCAGTCACAACGCACCTGCTGATCCTCAGTATCTTCCCCTTCAACGAGGTGGGACGCGAGCGCGCGTCAAAGCGCTGGCCAATAATCGCACGTGTGACTCGAAGCCGGGTAAGAATTTGAGGGGGCAGCTCAAGAAGGGTCTAAAGTACAGTCAGTCAAGAGTTTGAGTCCGTGAGTTAACTAGTATTAATCTCGACTACCACCTCGTAGTGTTGTGTGGTTAGCTTCAACTGCGGATGCTGTCCGCAAGCAGCTCAGGTCGTGTGCCGAAATCATGCAGCATGAATGGTATGCCTGCAATCCCGAACTAGGCTTTGCATGCAATACTGCCGAACCACGATGGAAAGAACAACGATTGAGACTGGCGCCACGCCCCAAATCTGTTGCCGAATCCCCGAAGACGTCACGCGCACACCTGCAGGACAATCGCCACTCAAAATTAA